AAAGTGTACCAATAAAAGAATTTAAGCAATTAAAAAAATAAATAAAAAAGAATGAAAATCACATGACAATATCAGTACCTGCAGAAAAGCATTTGATAAAATCCACCACACACGGATAATGAAAATACTCTAGGAAGCCAGAGGAACCTTCACAATTTGATAAGAATAACTTTTTAAAACTCTAAAGGTATTATCACATAAAAACTATAATTTTTTTTCCATTATAATCAGGAACAGAGTAATGATTTCCTCTTCTCACCATAACTTTTTAACATTTATTGGAAGTCCTAGATAACTCTATAAGACAAGAAAAGGATATAAAATGCATATTCACTGTGAAGGAAGTAATAAAACTCTACTTGTTCACACATGTCATGATTGTTTCTGCCGAAAATCTGACAAAAATCAACAAAAATACCTAGAATTAATAAGCAATTATTGCAAGGGTGATACACAAAAGGTTAATATACAAAAGTCAATCTCTGTCTTACAAAATAGCAGTGAACAAATCCAATTTGATAGTAAAAACACAATACTTTTTACACTTGTGTTCCCCCAAATAAAATGTTAATGTAGATATCTAACAAAATATATACAAGATCCATATGAAAAAAGTACAACACTCTGATGAAAGAAATCAAAGAAGAACTTCATAAATGGAAGATTACCATGTTCATGAATAAAAAGACTCAATGCTATTAAAATGTCAGTCTTGTCCACTTCTTCTATAGATTCAATGCAAGTCACAATAAAAATACCAGAAAGAATCCCCAGCATTACAAAAAAAATTTCACAAATTATTTTGTGGATATAAAAGAAATGGTTCTAAGGTTTTGTATGAAGAAGCAGAAGACCTAGAATATTTAACACAATATTAAAGAACCACATTGGAGGTCTAATACCATATAACTTCAACACTTACTATAAAGCTACAGTAATCAAAACAGTGTGGTATGGGTGAAAGAACAGATGAATAGGTCAATAGAAGAGAATAGAGAGTTCAGAAATACAGTCACATAAATATAGTCAGCTGGTCTTTGACAAAGGAGTAAGCATAAAACAATTGAGAAAGAACATCTCTTTAACAAATAAAACTGGATAACTGGACATTAGCATTCAGTAAAATGATTCTATACACAAGCCTTATACACTTCAGAAAAACTAATTCAAAATAAATAACATAGGTAATGGGTGTGTTGATGAATTTTTAGATAGGATAGCAAAGGCACTATACATTAATGAAAGAATAAGCTGGATTTTGATAAAATTAAAAATTAAAAATTCTGGCTCTGCAAGACACTATGAAGAGAATGAAAAGAGAAGCTACAGACTGGGAAAAAATACTCACAAGAAACACATAAGATAAAGGGTTATTGTTCAAAATATAATATAAAATTTTTTTAAAAAAACAATAAAAAACAAAAATCCTGATTAAACATGGATCAAAGCTGGGTGTGGTGCTGCAAACCTGTAATTCCAGCACTCTGAGAGGCTGAAGCTGGCGGATTCCAAATTCAAGCGCATCCTGGGCAATTTAGCACCTTAGAGCGACCCTGACCCTGTCTCAAAATAAAAATGGTTAAGAATGTATTTCAGTGCAAAGGCCCCAGTTTCAATCACCAGAACAATCAATCAATCAATCAACTAATGGGTCCAAGGTCTGAATATACACCTCACCAAGAAGATATATGGATGGCATATAAAAATACAAAAAGAATTCCACATTATATGTCATCAAGGTAATACAAATTAAGACAACAATGATATACTGATACTACTACATATCTTACAGAATGGCTAAAATTCAGAACACTGACTACACCAAATGCTGGTAAGCATGTGGAGCAACAGGGAGCTTCATTCATTACTGGTGGCAATGGAAAGTGGTTCACTACTTTGGCAGTATCTTATAAAATTAAATATAAAATAGTAATCTTATTATAAACAAAAGTGCGCATATGATCCAACAAGCCTACATATTGGTATTTATTCAAATTAGCTAAAAACTTACATCCATACAACAACCTACACGTGAATGTTTATAGTATCTTTATTCATAATTGTCAAAATGTGGATACAACCAAGATGTCCTTCAGTGAGTGAGTAAACTGTGGTACATCCAGATAATGGAATATCATTCAACACCAAAAAACAACTATTAGACCATGAAAAGATGTGGAGTCTTAAATGTGCATTACTACCTGTAAGTGAAAAAAGCCAATCTGAAAAGGGAGAGATAAAAAGAACAGCAGTTACAAGAGATTGGAAGAGGGGAGAAACAGGTAGCTCACAGAGGCTGTTAAGCACAAAGAAAATGTTCTATATAATATTGTAGTGGCGGCTACAGTATATGTCATTACAAATTCTTCCAAACCCACACACTGGAAGAGTGAATACTAATAACAACTCTGAGCTTTTGGTAATAATGATGTGTCAATTTGGGCTAAATGTAACAAATGTGCCATTCTGGTGGAAGATATTGATGCACTAAGAGGTTATGCATGTGTTGGGGCAGGAGGTGTTTGGGGAATTTCTGAATTATCCTTTCAGTTATGCTGTTAATCTAAAACTGATATAAAAACTACAGTCTTTACATTATTTTTTAAATTTGGGCTTTGCATACTATATTATATATGTCACAAATACTCAACTCTGCCATTATAGTGCAAGGCAACCATAGGTTATAGGAAAACAAATGAACATTAGTGTGTGCCTATATAACTTCATTTATAAAAACATTCACTGTGCCATATTTGGCCCATGAGTATAGTTTACCAAATCTTGCTGTATATACTTGAACTTAGTTTTTCTCTCTAGTTTTTAGCCCTCTATGCTGTTCTTTGTATGAGCTGTCCCTATCATAAGCCCTCATCCCAACCTTTGGTACACAAGCTACCTTAGAAGATTTAAGCAAAACTTATGTCTAAAACTGAAAGTTATCACCTTCTCCTACCAAGCCTGCTCTTCTCATTATAGCCCCTACAGTAGTGACTGGCAACACTATTCATTCTTGGCATTTGTCTGGACTTCTCTCCCTCCTCGCCTGCCATTGCTCAACAAATTTTGTTGATCCTCTTCCCCAAACACTATTACATCTGCCTGCTCCCTCTCTTTATTCCCTGTCTATGCCCTATCCTTTACTATCTCTTAGTTAGACTACTATAATGTCTTCCAGCAAGACCAGATTACTTACAGCCCCCCAACTGTGGAGTAATATTTTACCTGTCCTTGACACTACATATTTCCTTTTGCCTGGAGTCCTGCCCCCCACAACCTTAACTCCTACTCTTATCTCTTATCTTCTTGGTGAACTCCTACCATAGTGTTATGTCTTGTGCTTAACTTCCCCCCAAAAGCCTCATGCTTTTTCAGTATGTTACTGATTCATGTTACTGATAACATACCTACAGTATGTTACTGATTCATGGTGGGGCTAGGCCCCAGGGCACTAGGATTAAGGGCATGAATTATACCCGACCTAAGTAGTTTGAACAAAATAAAAGGGGCAGAAAAAAACTGTTTAGGTCCCTTTGTTGCTTGTGCAGTCTTCCATTGCCATGAACTGTTGCCCCTCTGCCACCCTCTCTTAGAGCCAGTAGATTATAGACTGAAAACTCTACAAACTCTAAGCCAAATAAACCTTTTCCCCTTTAACTTTGGGTGTCCGGTATTTTGTCTCAGCAATGAGAGAAAAGTAACCAACACACATAGTCATTATTCAAAACCCAGCTGAGATTGTCTCTTTCATATTTAACCATTGTTTCCTCAAATCTACTTGTTTTAAACAGAATATCCTTGACAATCTTAAAATGTATGTTCTAAGAGCCTCAGATCCATGACTAGTTGGGAAATTTAAGTATCCATATCAGAACTTGAGGGCTATAACAATTGGCCTATTAAATACTGTATCTTAAACCTTTCACTTCAGTAACATCATTACTTCAGTAACATCAACCTTTAACTTAAGCTGAAAACAATAAACCTATTATCACTTCAAAAATTTATTCCATATATAGCCACAAATCAAGAACAAAGAGCAACCTTACAGAAAACCTTGCTCCTATATAGCAGTCAATGTGAGTCAAACATGGGTCTCAGAAAAATTACAATTTCTTCCTGTAAAAGACCTTTGGAAATCATTAAAACAGTGTTAAGTCCATAAATGTCAACATCATACCATACTTCTATCATGTCAAAAAATATGTACTGTTTTGATGAGAATGAGACCTTCTTGGAGATAGTCCACTGTTTTGTCATTCTTTTTCATATCAAAGTAGACCTAACAGAAAGCAATCATTCCAAAGATGTTTAATTAAACTGCCTTTTAAGTGGTCTCCCTGCTTTTAGGCCATCTTCCTCTCCAAAATCCTGCCAGTTCTTTTTATAAAAACACATTTCTGATGTCACTCAGTTGCCCCCCAAACCCTTGATGACTGTTTATAATCTCCTTTACAGAATAATGTCCCCATACTCTGACAAGGCATACAAGAGGCTTCACACCTTCCCCTCAGCTTTATTGCCAGTCTCATCCTGACCCTTTCCTTTTTACACAGGCTCTGTTCATGTCACACTTGCCGTTCCTGGAACACTTTTGGACATTTATTATTCCACACCTTTGCAAATGCTGTTTTTTTCTATCCAAAAGGACCTTCTGGTTTCCTTTGCTTGGAAAACTCTTATTTATTAATAAAACTCAGCTTAAATATCATTACCTTTGTGATTTTTCCCTAGGCCCTCCCAGAATCACTATCTCCCTCATTTATTTTACTGTACCATAGTGTTTATTCTCAAAATATACCTAGCTAATTTTGCGGGGGGAGGGGAGAGATTGCCGTCAATAGACTTACCCCAGTAGTGACTGCAACACTACGTGTTAAGCATGTTGTTCAAGCAGCAGTGGGAAGATAGGGCTGGATGACCTTTAAGTCATGAGATGCTAGGGTATGCATCCTTTACACTGTACGTGTACTCGTGGGAGGGGGCAGGGAGAGGAGAAAAAGTGGAGGAGAAATACAGAGAGACAGAGACAGAGAAAACAAAATCGGAGAGCAGAGGGTGGGCACAGTGCAGTAACAGAGGACAGTCAGACCCAAATTTCTGCTTTACAATTTTGCAGAGACCCAGCCTGGCATCTAGCGCTAAAGCATAGGAGTGGGGGTGGGGGAGTGATGGGCGGAAAGGGGAGGGACTGCAATCCCTCTGAGTGTGCCCAGCCTGGACTGCCCGGCCTATCACCTCCTGTTCTAACAGGGCCAGTTCCTCTACGCCGCGACTCTCGCCTATTGTGTCAGGCAGGGTGCACGCAACTGTGCAGCCCCACAGGTGGCATCGGTTAGGTGAGACGGTTCCCGCCAGGCGCCAGGCTAGGCAGTGGAGCGCCGCACAGCGCTCCTTCCCGCCTCCTAGCCGCCGCCCTAGCAGTTCCAACCCAGCGCCAGCAGACCTGCTCGGTCGATCTTCGAGCTGAAGATGCGGCGGGGCTGGAAGATGGCTCTGTCTGGGGGGCTGCGGTGCTGCCGCCAGGTACTGTCCTGGGTGCCAGTGCTCGTTATTGTCCTCGTCGTGCTCTGGTCCTACTATGCCTACGTCTTTGAACTCTGCCTGGGTAAGTGGGGCTGGGCACCTAAGGTAGGGAAATTATGCTCCAGCATAATCGTCTTCCCTACCCTTCACACTGGTGTCTCCTGTGTTCTCAGCCCTCACTCTGCCGCTCTCCTTTCGCTACCTCTCCCCAACCTCTGGCTTTCCACAATATATCTCTTATGCTCTCCCATGAGAGTCCCACCAGGTCGCCATTGCCTCCAACCTAGGATTTCTTATTTCTTTGCCCTACCCACAATAATTTTCAGGTTCTTCCTAGGGCCCCCTTTTCTCATGTAGGACAACCACTTGTGCCTTATGCTCTCCTCTTGGGAGTCCCCATCTTACCCAATTGAAACCACATAATCTGTGTCCTTAAACTGCTCACTATGATTCCCACCAATGCACCAACTGGAGGCCCCACCATTTTCCCTCCTACTAGAATCCTACTAAGATTCTGTACTAGGGATTTCCTGTTAAAAATCCAAACATATTTCCTGACTCCCTTACTACCTGTCTTTTTTTTCCCACATTCAGATCCGTCCTTCTTCTGCAATCCTGTCACACTGGATGAAGTGCTTCATATCTTCACCCACTTGTGAACCCCTTCACAGTACACTGTTTTAAACCACTGAGGTCTCTCTTTTTCACATGAGTATAAGCTTTCCTTTTCTCTTTCTATGTGAGCTCTCCTCCTTTCTTCAGCTACTCTAATGGGATGGGGTTTTTACACAAAATCCACTCCCCTCACACTAGAGCCCCTGATTTTATCACTGAGATTCCTTCAAATCTCCTGCCTTTTTTGCTTGGAGGACTGGTCAATAACTCCCCATTAGGGGTCCTACATTATTTTCTGACACCTCACATTAGTGACTCTGCTTTTATCACATGATGATCCTGCTTTATTCCCCATCTTCTCACACTAGAATGTTCTCTTTACCCTCCCAAAAGTGTTCCCACAATCTCTATCCTACCCATCAAAAGGCCACTATTTGTTTAATCATAGTTTTTCCTTAATATCTTTTCTGAGAAACCCATTCCCCTCTTCCTACAGTCCTTTTCCAATGTTAACACCATACTCTGTCATCCTCTTATTTCCCCTAGGATTGTACTTGCTCCCTGTCTTCTCAAACTGGGAAAACCTCTCTCTTTCCTATTGAAGATTTGAATATTTTTCTACCCCTGCCAGTGGGAGTTTCATTTCTTGTTTCTTCTCATTAGACCACCCCTCTTAATAACTCTTGTACCCTCACCTGTCACACTAAGATGCATTCCATCCCCTCCTTATTTATAACATGGATTCTATGGTATACTTTGTACTTCAAAATTCAGAATTATACAGTATTTCCCATCACACCCCCCCCAAGACCCTCTGTTACATTTTTTCACTTGCATTGCCCCATAACTCTATCCTTATTAGTAATGGTCTCTAGTAGTTTTCATTTTATATAATGTCTCCTCACAACAAAGCTCCTGCTTTTTTCAAGTGAAATTTCCCCTAGCTCCTATCTTTTCACATTGAGGAAACCCCATCTCCTCTCAAAAGAGATACAACTAATATTATCATCTCTTCAACACTAGAATCCCAGTACCAGCACTCTAAAACATGTGTCTACAGTTTTCCCTATTCATCTGTGCGGGGTTCCTATTTTCATCATATTATAATTACCACTTGCTCCATGGGACATCTTCTCAAACCCAAGTCTTTCTAAAACTCCTTTTTTTCTTCAAATCAGAACTTCTTACCTTACAAATTATGGTTAAGGTGCTGTTTTTTTTCAACTTCAGGACCTGGCTCCACTTGCAGCCACCTCCTCTTATATATTTGAGAAAGCAGTATTCTAGCCTAGGTAGACTGGGATGAACTGGGGTAGAAACACGTGACCCTTTTTTTAAATACTGAAATTGAAGAAAGCTAGTCTAATCAACTCTATACATCAAATCAGATTTTAATTTTTCTCACCTTCTTCTTAGATATAGAAGATACAGAAAGCTCTTAAAAATAAATTTCATTAGTTGCCTTTATAGATACAAATTTAAGTTGTTTTTCCTTTTTTTTCAATCTGGTATTGAGGATCATTAAGCAGACTATGCAATGACTGGGAAATTTTCCTATTCTCAGACTCACCACTTTGGTATTTTTGAATGATTGATTAAAGGGTCAAAAGTTTAATTCCAATATATAGTATGGAGATTTCTTCTAGGATCAATGCCGTATTATAAGCACTAGTAAGCATTTTGAAGTTTTTCAGTACTGTCTCACATGAGCTTCTCCAATAAATCTTTAAAAATCAGTAATGATAATCCCTAACACTTACATAGTGCTTACTTTGTGATAGAAAATGTTCCAAGCACTATAAATATAGTAACTCTGTATATCAACTCATTTAATCTTCACAACCATATGAGGCAGGTATAATTACTGTTCCTCAATGTAGATGTATAAACTGAGGCACGGATGAGCAAATTAAGATAAAGACCAATTTAGAATCAGTGCCAATAATTAATTCCTCTAAGTTCTTATTTAGTCATATAACATTAAAAACTGAAAGAAAACTTAGGACTTATTTTGTTTTATTTCACATACTTGCACAGTACTTGCTACATACCAGACACTGTTTCTGAGTGACTACACACACACACACAAACTTTCTCTTAACCTTATGAGGTACATGGTATTATCATGCCAAGCTTCCAGAGAAGTAAAATGAATAATGGATAGATTAAATTGCTTATCTGAGATCACAAAGCCAGCTAAGTGGCCAAACTTGGATGGCAATACAGTAATGTGGCTCCATAGTCCATACTCTTAACCACCATACTACCTTAATATCCTGCCTCCTCTTAACTAATACAGAGGTCAACAGGCCAGGTAAAACTTGCAGATGTATTTTATTTGGCATGCACAGTGTTTTCTGAACATTTTGCATCAGTTACCATTATTTCAAAATCAAGATAAGCTGGGCACCTTATTGCAAACCTGTAGTCCCAGCGCTTGAGAGGGTAAGACAGGAGGATCACTTGAGCCCAGCAATTGGAGACCAGCCTGAGCAACATAGTGAGACTCTGTTTCCAAAAAAAAAAAAAAAAAAAAATTAAGAGAACAAGGCAGCCTTAATTTTCAATTTTGGCTCCACCTTTCTATCCTAACATCTTCATTTTACAATTTTTTCAAAAATGAGCAGCCTGGGTTTCAGAAAAGCCAAGTCAATTTTTCCTAAAGTCACAAGTTTATTAAAGAGTAGAGAATTGGAAGGCAAGGATGTCTGATACCAAGACTATATCTTTTCCAATGCAACCAAAGTAACAGATTATAGTTTCAATATGATTCAAAAGGTAATATTAAAAGAACTAACTTCTTTCTAAAGATAAACCCTGATGTCATTTTCCCTAATATTGTATAAGCTTACAGCTAAAACTAAGAGTGATTTTTTAATGATAATTCATACATTTTGAATTCTGCCAGTTACTACCTAGGAGACCTGGGACAACTTAACCAGTCTCTCTCAATCTTAGTTGCCTCACATGTACCTTGCTTACATGATTGTTTATTCATCCCACAAATAATTTGCTGTGTATCTACTATACGACAAGCATTGCTGTCATGAGATTTGAATATTATGGTGCCTGAAAATCATGAATCATAGTTCATAACCCATTGTAATAGCTCATTAGATAAAAATACTTTATTATTAATAACAATAAAAGGGATTCTGCTTTACACAAGAAAATAAGAGATTGAAACTTTGAGAGGAGGAAAGTAACAGTATCCATTTTATTTGGATAAAATTTACATAACATAAAATTAACCATTTTAATGTATTCACTTAAGTGTCATTTAGTACATTCACAATGCTGTGCAACTATCACTTCTATATAATTCTAAAACATTCTCATCACTCCAAAATGAAACCTCATAAGCATTAAGCAATTATTTGCTGTTCCCTCCTCCCCTCCTTGCCCTTCCAAGGGAACCATTGATCTACATTCTGTCTCTATGTATTTACCTATTTACATGATATTTCGTGTAAATAGCATCATATACTATTTGTCCCTTTGCAACTGGCTGCTTGCAGTTAGCATAATATTTTCAAGATCCATTCACACTGTAGCATGCAACAGTGTAACTGCACACAATATAATTCACTCTTTTTTTCATTTTATTTTATTGGTACATGTTTGTAATTCATGCAGTTTACAGTCATCTTGGGGAATGGTTATATGTACATATTACAGCTCGGTTTGTTTTAAATCCACTTCCCCTTCCCTCCCACTCCCCCCTCCTTTGGTTCCCCAATCACCTTTTTCGTACCTGTTGATACTCTTTGTCTTGTGGCTTACAATGTTTACATTGATTAGGGTTATTAAGTTCCTGTACATGGCATATCTTTATTCCTCTCATTTTCCCTTCCCCATCCCCCTTCTTCCTCTCCTTGTTCCTTTGGGCTATTTTTCTATTGGATGAGATCTGTCCCCTTGTCCCTTTCTATCCATTTTTTATCATTTTCTTTGTTTATGAGGGAATACCATACAGTATTCATGCTTGTGTGTCTGATTTATTTCATGCAACATTGTTTTCCAGGTGCATCCATTTTCCCCAAATGCCTCAAATTTGTCATTCTTTATAGCTAAGTAGTATTCCCTTATATATAGATACCACATTTAGTTTATCCAGTCAACTGTTGATGGGTATACAGGCTGCTTCCAGGATTTAGCTATTATAAATTGTGTTGCTATAAACATTGGTATGCAAGTATTGCTGTAGTATGATGACTTAAGCTCTTTGGGGAGGATACCTAGAAGGGGGATAGCTGGGTCATATGGAATTTTTAATTTCAATTCTTTGAGGAATCTCCTTACTGATTTTGACAATGGTTGTACTAGTTTGAATTCCCACTAACAATGTAGGAGCCTACTTTTTTCGCCACAGCCATGCTAGCTTTTGTTATTTTTTGATTTCCTTTCGATTGCCATTCTTTTCAGAGTAAGATGGAATTTAGCATTGTTTTAATTTGCATTTCTCTA